CACTATTTTCCCCCTCCCCTCACTACCTCATGTTGTTCGCAATGCAAGTGACGCAAGCCTTGTGTTCCAGTGTGCCATGTGGGCGGCGCAGACTTGTGTTCCCATGCAGCCTGGATTAATTGCTTTTGGTGTGACATTTCTTTGCAGACCACCAAAATTTTCTCATGGACCAGCAGTGGTTCCCGGCCTACTGGTTGGCGACCACTGAGTTATAGCACACAGTTCATATTATAGAAGGTATGCTTTTCCATAAAGTTGGTTCATACCTTTAGCAATTATAAAAACTCAAGCAATTAAAGCTCCAGTCTCTAGGTCAGTGATGGCTAACCTTTTTCGGCTCCTGTGCCAAAACCTGCATGTGCACCAGCATGCCATCACCCAGAATGCAATGCGTGCCCCACCTTCCCCATGCTCCCTGTGCATGCAAGCACAATTCCTCACCCCCACCTCCTTACCTGCACTGCACCTCACAGCTGATTTTTCGGCTGGTTTGAGGCCTTTTTCGGGCTCCCAGAGGCTTGGAAAAAACTTCTGCAAGGCTTTTCAGGACAAATTATACCCCATTTCGTCACTTCCGGTATTACAGGAAGTGACGAAATGGGCCTATTGGCCTGAAAAGCCTTGCAGAGGCTTTTTCCAAGCCTCTGGGAGCCCCAAAAAGGCCTTAAACCAACTGAAAAAAATCAGCTGTGAGGCGCGCACATGCGCGGTGAGGTAAATGTGCCTGCAGCTCGCGTGCCAGCACAAATGGCTCTGTGTGTGCCACTTGTGGCACGCATGCCATAGGTTTGCCATAACGGCTCTAGGTAGTCCTTGACTTATTAATTGAGCCCACAATTCGGCTCATAAATTGTGCCAGTTGTTAAGCCAGTCATCACAAGACCCCACCCAATTTACAACCTTTTTTGTGTGATCATCAAGCAGATGTAATGATCAAAACCCATTGTTTGCTGGGGGGTATGTGTGGTTTTTGCTGGAAACAATAAATAAATGTTGATTTCTGGCAAAAACAAAACAAAACATTGTAAATCATGGTCAAGTGACCACAGGATGCTGCAAATGGCTGTAAATGTTGCTGAACATTTAAGATGCAGAAATGTGTCTGCAAGGGGAGAGGGGATTGTGGAAACTTCAAATCTTTTGGGAGCAGGTCTGTTGTAATTAAGCTCAATGACCAGATCTAAGTTGAGGACTACCTGTTTCAAATGATTTCAACAAAAGTCCAGTTGTGTAATGGTCATATTTAGAACCCTCATGCAAGATAGAAGGTTGTGTCCTTCTCTGACGTTCTCTGCTCCCTCCTGCTCCTAGTTCCAGTTCAGATAGATTCCTTCTGAGCCCTAACCACAACAAAGACTGAAAAGACAATGACCACAGCTACTACTTACCACAAGCCATTTTGACATAGATGTATTCTGAAACTCTCTAGAGTTTTATCTACTGCACAGTGATGAATAACCTTATCCCTTCAATGTAGCTTGACTAGCTTTCATTCAGCCAGGTTGAATTTCGAAAGAAAAAAACTGAGCTTGGTTTCCTTGGGGTTTATCGTCATTGCACCTTTGGTCACATCTTGTTGACACAGACATTCTGGACTGCAGCCTCAGCACTTTCCCCTCCAAACATCCAGCTTGGCCTAAATAAGTGAAACAACCCCTTTTGCCCTTTGAAAAAGGATTCATGCGTTCCCATTTGCACACTAATTTGATCATTAAAAAATAAACCTACACTTGTCGGCCTGACATGCTTGCTTTTGAAATGACGTATCCTTGGGCACTTGTCTAATGTCATGCAACTCAGGAAATTAATTGGTATTAAGTAGTCTAGCCAATAGACTCCCGCAGTAATCCAGATGTGAGGCAACCAAGGCATACTGTGCCACGCCTGCTGTGGGGAATCAACAAATCCAATGAATATTCATTAAATGAAAATAATGGGGTTGGTGATTTTATTGATGAGGGCCTTTCAAGAAAAAGTCCTAATGGAATCTTTTGGTTCCTCACCACTGCAGAGTCCCGTAATGAGTGGATTCCCGTCAAAATGAGGAAAAGTTGGGTGGTGAGTTTGGAGTACAGGTAGTCCTTGACTTATATGACCACAACAGAGTTCAAAATTTATATTGCTAAGTGAGAAATGTGTTACGTGAGTTTTGCTCCATTTTACAAGACTTTTCTTGCCACATTTGTTCAGTGAATCACTGCAGTTGTTAAATTAGTTACACAGTTGTTAAGTGAAATCGGCTTCCCCATTGAATTTGTTTGTCGAAAGGTCGCAAAAGGGGATCACATGACTCTGGGACATCCTAAATGTGAGTCAGTTGTCAATCATCCAAATCATGTGACCATGGGGAATGCTGCAATGGTCATAAGAGTGAAAATTGGTCAGATTCATAAGTCACTTTTTCCAGTGCTGTTGTGACTTCCAATGGTCATTAAATGAACCATTGTAAGTCGAGGACTACTTGTATAGCATCTTCCTTGCCCACATTCATTACTCATTTTGAGAACAGCCAGTTCAGGATTTACCAAGGTGCTTAGAAAGGAGTGCCCACACTCTGTTATCCAGAAAAGGGACAGAAGAATTGTACTCTATTGTGTACATATGTACTCTATTGTGTACATATTATGTAACAACGAGCTCAATACCCATGCTTCACTACAAAATTATGTGGTCGGGCTTAGTTTTGGGGGAGGAAAATAAGGGGGGGGGGAAATTCTGCCTCTGCCTACCAGCATCCATCGGTATTCATCTGGCTAGCATCCTGTCAGTGTGTTTGGAAACTGAAACAGTACTTGCTGTGTGAGCAAAAAGGAGACAGCAAGGAACCTGGGTGTGTCTTAGCTCTACCATTCTGTACTAAAGCTGGTAGCTGCTGTGAAACTAAAACTGAAACTCCTCTCCTCTGCTTATGTTTTGCATTTGGAACAGATTTATCTTCAGGTGAGGAGGGAGAGTAGAACTCCTTAGCATCAGAGCCAGAGGTGGTATTCAGCAAGTTCTGACCAGTTCTGGAGAACAGGTAGCGGAAATTTTGAGTAGTTCAGAGAACTGGCAAATACTACCTCTGACTAGAGATTTTACATTATACTTCCCCTGCTACACTTAACAAGCCATGCCCACAGAACCGGTAGTAAAAAAATTTGAACCCCACCACTGATCTGAGTGTGTTAATAATAATATATGAAAATATTAATGGTCTGATGGTCATTTCGAAAATAATAATTTTTGATGGCGCAAGATTGGCCAATAGTTCTAGTAACACCAGCACCACAGGTAATGGCTTCATCTTGGCACCAGCAGAATCTTGATAACACAAGACAAATGGACTCTGTAGAATGTCAGACACAAAATAAAAACAAAGCTGATACAACCTGATAAATAAACACAAAAGAAAAATTAAACTAACTCTATATTAGTCGCAGAATGTCCATAAAACAGTTCAAATGCTGAAAATAAAATTACTGAAGTGAAAATACCAAAAAATAACTATCCAAATGAAATATACTAAAAAAAATTAAAAAAATCCAGGAATCTTAAGTTTCTTGTAACACTTGATGAAAAAAAACATTGATCTCTTACCAGAGCTTTTGATAACAGAGGTTCTGTTCTCTTATCTGAGGATAGTAGTAGAACTTAGTGAAGGTGATTAAAAAGAAAATGAAAGGAACCTTGACCTGGTAAGCCAGACACATTTTGAATACTTCCTTAGTTGTTTCAACTATTTATCCTTTGCTAAAATTATTTACTCCTGAATAAATTTTCCATAGTTTTTAAAATAGCTATAGGGATGAGCAACAATACTGACAGATGGTGGGGTGGTGGGGTGTTCCAGCAAAGGAAGAAGAAAGGTGTGTTTCTGGAATCTTGAAAATATTGATGGAAAGAGAATTTACAAAAGGAAAATGATCAGAGGGAATGGTGGTATTAGGGAGGGTCAGATTTTCTGAAATTATTTTAGCACTCATCTCTTTTATTATGGAAGAAAAAAAGGAAATTTCTGTATGTCAAGTTATTGGCTGTCCCATCGCTACAAAAAATAAGACTTCCCAGGATTGATTGAAAAAGTTTAGGGTAAGACTACATAAATTTCAGAAAGTGAATTTCCCCACCCCCTTTAGAATTCACAGTGATTCCTACGAAGGGGTCTTTCTCAATCTCTGATTTATTTGCTCTGGCAGATGAGAAGGCTGTTCCCCCAATTAATAACAGTGTAATATCCTGCAGGTGTTAAGCATACAATAACGCAATGCAGTATAATTTAAATTACTCAAATCTGCTGGACCCTAAATTTATGCTAAATTTATAACTGGGATTCCCACCCCACCCCCAGTTCTGGTTATAAAATAATTACCAAATTAATTAGGGGAGAGGCAAAACATTCCTTAGCAGCAGATGGTGGAACTAAAAGTGGCCGAAAAGTGTCCCAAATCTGCCTGGAAGATTTGGCTTTATAAGATAGATGTCTTGTTGATCAAGTTTTGCCTGTGCCAGATAGATTAAGTAATTAGAAAAGGCTTGCTGGAACAATTCCTTCTGGGACTCCATGGCCCAGAGAGTGAGCTCTGGAAGGCCTCAGGAACTTGTTGCCTCCATGGCAACCATGATAAGAGCTCACCTTCCATGTTTACACTGTAATGATAAGAGCAAATTGTCTACCTTGATTGTCTCTGCAGATTATGACAGGTCCTTTCCAGGGAAAGATGGGTGGAATAACTTTTGTAGTGAATGAGGACAGGAACATGCGCTATAATACTGGGATTCTTTCAAACTTTTGAAGACTTTCTGATTCCCATTTCTGACATATGCTAATGAACCCAGAATCACGCAGACAATTGTTTGTGTTTTATCATATTTATTAACATCATCTGAATAAACCTGGCTTTGCCAGTATAAAAGGCACTGTGAGGACAGAAGAAAGACCCAAGTGTGTAGTCCTGCCTGTCCAAAACTACCAAGAAAATCTTTGTTGCATAGTTTGCATGATTTTGACATCAAAGCTAAATAAATGGAAATAGCTATGTGCTGCAGTGAGACTTGTACATTTGACGGACGCTCAATCTCAATGGCACACTCTTTGGCTTTGCTGTTCTCTCCCCCTCCCCATAAGCAATAAAACAGTTCTGCTTGCTTGTTTGCTTTCTAGAAGAGTAGATAGAACATACCAGGCTCATAAAATGGCCCACAATAGATCTGATGCTATCTCAAATTACTTTACAAAATGCGGACACACAGTAAATAAAACTAGTCACTTACACCATACAGTAAAGGAGAGGAAGGTGATGAATTTCCTTCATCAAGCTTCCCAGCATCGGGAACCTCTCTCCAATATCCTACCTGCTCTTATATCAAATCGACAGGTTTCACACATCATTCTAAACTCTCATTCAAAACAATGCTTTGTTGATTAAGATAGCTGGATGAATTCATGCCAAGCCGAGAATCACGTTGTTTTTACAAATCACAATATTGCCCTACATCACAAATCAACCCACTCCTATTTTTGGCTTAGTACAATCTGAATTAAAGATCTGTTCCAGAGGGCACGAGACAAGTATTTTGATGCAGACTGAAACCTCCCTATAAATTGCTTGGGCTATACTGGTGAGATTGGGACGGCTGGGCTTGATGGGTCTGTGGCTGGAAAATATAACAATTGGGTCATAAGCAGTGAAGGGTCACTGGTAGCAAATACCACAACTTCTTGTGGGAGGAAAGGAGATGGTAGAGAGCAGCATGGAACTGTTAAAGAGTCCCTCTTTTGATCCGCAGAAAGCATCAACTGTGGGATTGTGACTTTCTTATTTCTACAGAACAGAAAGGCGGAACTAAAAGGTTGCATCTGCTCATTCAGCTGAATGTGGCGAAATCAGCAGTATTACTTTGAACTGCAGGCTTTTGACCAATCACAGAAATCCAACATTTCCTCAAGGGGCATGTGTGGGAGAAAAGGTTATTTTTTTCCTTGTTGTGCTGTTCTTTGTTTTGTTTTAATTATGAGGGAGAAGCGAGGGAGTAATTTTTTTAAAGAATACCACAGCTTGCAAAAATCTGAACCTGTCCATTTTTTTTTTTAAATCTCCACAAAGTGCCTCATTACTCTGCACAGGTAGATTCAACCCAATGTGGATACAAAGGAATTGTGGGCCAAGACAGTCTGAAAGATTGGCATCAGGTTTAATGAAGTTGCCACTAAAAGGAACTGTTGGGTGGGCCTTGGAGCTAACGTTAATAATAGTTTGTTGGTCTTTTGTTTCATAGGGAGAAAGTTGATATCAGTACTTTAAATCATGACAGTAGGAATTCTCACCATCTCTTGATTTTGGATTGGGGTTTTTTGGGGGTGGAGGCAGACCAACAATACCACAACAATAGTAAGAATAATCCAATGTAAGTCTCCTAAAATGGGACCCAATTATTCTTTTCCTATCTAGTGTAATCCCTCTACAAATCCTATCAGTTAAAGCGGCAGGATAAAATAATATGCACACAGTAGCTGAGACAGGAGCTACAATGTGCTCTATCCTCAATCAAGACCGACTAGGATTTTATTCCAGTGCAAATAAATTGGCAAAGCTCTATAGTTTGCAAATAAATATGCCTTCATGTATTCTGATTCAGACATTGGGAACCCGCATAGCCTCTCATGGTCTATAGAAAATGAGAACGTCAGAAAGTCTAAATCAAATGAGTGCTTACAACATAAATATTTCTAGGAAATTCTAGTGTAGTCTCTTGAGGAAATTCCAATTTGATGGACCCAGTTGTTCCATTGGCAAGTGATATTGAAATACAGCTCCCTCAATAAAGGGTCACTTCCTCCCCATCAGAAGGCGTGTAGTTAAACCTTTGGGAATGGCTTGATAGTCTAAACTGCAAAATCTGACCTTGCAAGATCACAACATTAAGGTAAATCCCAAACAGTGGTTTTCTTCCCATTTCAGGAAGACTTTCCCACGTCTGTGTTTACTAAGCATCCTTCAAATGCAGTGGTGAGATCCTAGAGGTTACAAAGATGTCGGCAACACAGTTTGAATCATTAAACTGACGGTGAACGTTGGCACCATCTGAGCATGCTCAGAACAAGAGACACAAAATCTTCAGAAGATGGGTCTCAGAGATCCGGGACCTCCTTAGGCAACTTGCCCTATATCACAAAGAGTTTCTTAATGACACAATGGGTAAGTGCCTGGAAAAAAAATAATCTGCATTTCATAGAACGCAACCAACCTAACAGAATGTGACTTTCTTAAAACTTTCTGCTTTCCTTCAGGGCTGTTTAAAGAAGGAGGAGACACCCCTCAATTTGGGTACCAGAAACTTGTCAGTGGAGCCAAACGTTGCAGCCTAGCTGTGGGGCCCAGAAGGAAAGAGGCTGGCAAGAGCTCCTTCCACTCGTGCTATATGTGTGGCGTTTCTGCGAAGAAAGGCTGTGATCGATTTCGCTGAAGTTTCTAGGTTGGTGAGGTGGCAGTAGCTGAGAAGTTACTCCAAACAGTCCATGGGTACAAGAGGCTCAAGACTGGCAGTGGAGCATTGCAATTCCCATTAGTGAAGAACTTGTACTATCTAGGGGTATTGAGGCACCATGTGTGTGGGGATTGAAAGGGCTGGCTTCAGAGATATTGGCAGTGTGGGGCAACCCCTTTCTTCCCCCAGCCCTAAACTGAGGCAGAAGAATAAATCAATGGGTGCCAGAAATAAATAATGCCCCGCCCCCACCGGGGTATCCTCAACAGCTCCTTGGGTGGCTGGGACAAAAACTGCCCATCTTGTGCAGCTCCTGAGGTGAGCGTGTCGCAGTTAAGATCCTTCTCACCAAGCCAGCAGAGGAGATTGGAAGGCACCCAAATCACCCATCTATCCCACGGTAGAAGGTGCATCTTCACCCAATATTTGACAGAGTTCGCTGAGACGTTGCTGCATTTCAGGGACGCCAGCCAGCTGCTGCTCCAGGCGCTGCTTCTCCTCCCGCAGGGAGAGACGGGCTTCAGGGTCCAGCTTCTCAAACCGCCAGCCACCCTCCCCGTCAAACTGGAGGAGGTGGGTATGGTACTTCCTGAAAAGAAGGATGGAGGCTATTGAGAGACCATTCCAGGATACAACTTCGGCATTCAGCCTGCCATCTTTCTCCTTGCTCAAGGTCAACCTCGCCCACGCTGGCTCGGTTGCTGTTCTTCATTCCTCTCTAGACAAATGTCCTATGTGTAGGAGGGGTTTTTGGGGGGGGGGAGGGATTTTTCCACTAAGCTGTCTCCTGGGAGGAGAGTCAGAAACAAAACCACTCTCAGTCTCCAGGGATGACAACCATGGTGCTCCTGCCCACACAATTTCCTGCCGAGGACATGACTCTCTCTGCTTGGGAGAGCAGCCAGGGACATGACAGAAAGAGAGAGAGAGAGAGAGAGAGAGAGAGGGAAACGGAGGCGGGAAAGGAAGTATAACTGGGGGCTGGTGGGGCAGAGGAAGGATGAGGCTTGGAAAATGGATTGGCTCGAGGCTTGCCAGATTCAATACACAGGTCCCCTGTCCCTTTTTGCAGTATGAACTGCAAAAATGAGTTCAGCAAGTGCCTCTTTTCCTGGCACAAAGGCTTCTTAATAAAAGCCCAGGATTCCTAGGGAAGAAGATCCTGTGAAAAAGTTCCTTTCTTGTCCCTCCTTTAGGGAAAAGGAACCAGCTCCTGGCCACCAAAGCAGTGGCAAATTCTGCCTCCAGGCTCCTAGGCGCACTTTCCCGACCTGCCCAACGGAGAATCCTTTGGCTATGAGTAGGCGAGAACTTGATTAAAAAAAGGGTAGTACAGTAGTACAGTAGTACAAGGGAAGAATTTGCAGTCAGGGGAAGCACTGAGTTGGCACAGGCTTCCTGGAAGATCATATTCCAGCCCCTGGCGCTATCATGGAGGGTTGCCAGGCATATCTCAGGGATCAGTGAAAGCAAAAGTAATAACACGGGAATTCTTTCGGAATTCCTTCCCTTTGTTAATCAGATCAATCACACACAACACACACACACACACACACACACACCAATAGATGAGGTGTGTTCTCAGGCAGGAATATATGGCTGGATTTCAGGGAAAGGACCTAGTAAGAATTCTCCAGCTTTTTTACTTTCCCAAAAACTCTGCATGAAGACAAAGGACACAGAGAATTCCACAGGGAATGTTGAGCAACAAAGAATGAGACTGGACTGCATATCAAGCTAAGGCATAGGGCACTGCTTGCTTTTGCCCCAGCGTGCTATGTGAATCTGGTCACTATGGTTTTGAAACCTTGATTTCCAGCTAAAAAGGCCGTCACTACTTTATAGTACAGTTCCTAGCATTTATCGACAGTTGCAAAGGAAGAAAGAACTTACAAAAGAAGTAAGAACATACTGGATCCTGCAAAAAACTTGTAGTTTACTGATTTTTAGAATGTCACAAGTTCTTACTCCTGATATACTGAGTGGCTTAGCATGAAATATGAATTTGTCCAATTATGGATAATTTGAAAAACTGTGGTGTAATGCAGTGTTGTAAGAGAATGTTTGAATTGAGGCTCTAACATACTGTATAGCTCATTCCATACATGACATCCGTGACTTGCTTATTCATGTTTTACTAAAGACCATTAAGTGACTGGATCAGAACAACAATAAATTATAATATGAAAGTTACGGTTTACACAATGTATTAATTCAAAAGCAAACAAATGTGGTTATTTAGCAACCACAATCAGGATTGGCAACTCAACTGTGTTTATGATCTCATTTCAGTTTTCCTTTGTTTTACAGGAAAGTTGTAAATGCGAGAACTGGTCATAAACTTATTTTTTTCATCACTATTCTAGCTGTGGTTGCTAAATAAGGCAGTCGCTAAGTAAGGACTGCTTATAACTTCACTGAAAAATAATGCTATTTCTCATGAGTTAAATAGATATGAACATTTTTATTATAATACAGCTTGATTCACAGATCATACTAAGTTGTAATCATCTTACAAGCCACAATGCGTGGGTTCATTTAGCAGAAACATGATGTGAGTCACCAAATGGCTTTGCAAGTTTTCTGAATCCAATCAGTAAGTTTCAGTTAACTTGGCAGTAGGAATGACTGTTGTCAAAACCAAAACGGTTTCATAAATAGCCGCTATTTATAGGCACTGTAACTGTCAGCGTCTGCACCGCCTACCTCCTAATGACCTCCTAATGATGTTTCCTTCCCCAAATTTTCATTGTATTTCGGCTGTTTTTATCATTGCTTTTTTATTATCCCAATGAAATGGAATGTAATTCACAGAAACCCAATGCTACAGTAAATGCAAAACAACAGAATCTTGTGATACCTTAGAGATTAATATCACAAGAGGCCTTGTTGTTTTGGAGGAACTAATCAGGAACCCCTGGGAATATGTGCTGCAAGGGTGATATATCTATTCAAATAAAAAACAAAAACCACAGATTTTTAAGCAAGGGAGTAAAGGTATAAAGCAGGGGTGTCAAACTCCGGCCCATGGGGTGCTTAGATCTGGCCCGCAGGGCCTCCCTGGAAACAGCAAAGGACTGGCCTATGGTGCCTCTGCCAGTGAAAACGGGCTCCCAATCTCTGTTTTCGGCTGGAATGGCCTCCTACAACTCTCTGCCCGTGAGAATGGAGCTTGGGAGGACCACTCCATTTTTGCTGGCAGAGGGTTGTAGGAGGCTGTCCTAGTTGAAAGTGGAGATTGGGAACTCGTTTTCACCCTGTCTGTCATTCCCCGTGGTTTTCACTGACAAAGTGCTAGGGTCACCACAGGCGCCCTGACACGAGTGATGTCAATCAGACCACGCCTCCTGGCCACACCCCTCCCAAGATCAAACACAACGCTGATGCAGCCCTCAATGAAATCAAGTTTGACACCCCTGGTATAAAACATCATAATATCCCAGGTGAAGAACAAGACATACCACAATGAAGGTCGGTGTGTAATGGACAGCAATGCTATTCCTGCATCCTTTGCTGCTTGGAAGATTTTGCCTTCTACATCAATACTGACGGCACTGGTGCATTCATCGAGGAGCGCGTACTTTGGCCTGGGACAAGGAAGGGAGGGCCCAAGTCAGTGATCCCAAATGCCTGTTTCACTAGTCCAGGACCCCATCCATCATTCCCCGTGGTGTGCTGCCCCCTTTCTTTATTCCTGTCTCTTGCAAAATAAGAGACAATAGAATGTCTTTCTACTGGAATTACAATAATAAGCCAGTAACCACCTCATGGGAAAGGAAGGAAGCAGAGACCCAAAGGGCACTTGCCCTCTGGAACAATCTTGTTCTTTGGCAGGCTCAACTGCTTTCCAAATACTATGTAAGTTGAAATTATTTCAAAGTCAATTCAGGAAATAAGGGAAGTGGCCACTCCTGGCTTGGATTAAGATATTATCACTATTATTGTGGTTGCTGCTGTTTAGAGCTTTATTTTGTTTTTATGTCTATATTGTTAAGTACTGGGAATCTTCTGTGATTACAGTGGTGGTTGATCAAATCAACTGATCTTAATCTTGACCACTTCTCCCAGCCGACATTTTTTTGGAAGCTCTTTGTGTGACTTAATCCAGCATCACCAGGGAGTGGTATAAAGCAGCATCCTCAACATTTTTGGGCATCGGGGACCGGTTCCGTGGGGACAGATTTTTCTGCAGACCAGAAGGGGCATGGTTTCAAGTGCTGCCTGCATCCCGTGTTTGGGGCTTCGCTTGTTTACACGGGGTGGTTTCTGGCATCCCCTGGTATAAAGTACAAATGGAAATGCAGTTCGAGGCACTAACCTGTGATAGAACATCCGGGCCATCCCCATTCGCTGCTTCTCGCCACCAGAAAGTACATCCTTCCAATCGTTGACAGCTTCCCAACCTGATTGAAAAATAATTAAAGAAGAGGCTCTACTTTTTCTGTATGTCTACTTTCTCCACCTACCCAATTTCCTGTCTGCTGCATCCTGTTAACCAAAGGCAAGATGAGGCACGGGATACATTTCTCCTCAGTAAAAGAACTCAAGGTGTTTGATTGCCACCTTCTCCATCCACCCCAGGGAACTGCGTACCTCCTTCACGCTGAACAATATAATTGAGGTTGACGACATCCAGGATCTGTTCCAGGTCAGAATCGGTATGTCCTTTCCGTCCCATGTCCTTGGCCGTATCTGGGTAAATCACCTGGTCTCTCAGAGTGCCCACAGACATGTATGGTCTACAGTGAAATGCCAAGTAAAGAAAACAATTGGCATTCGAAGAGCGGCAGAAACGCCCCACAGTTAGCGTGTTGACAGCTCTTCAAAGGAGGCTGTGTCACTGTGTCACACGAGCAAGTGAGCCATGGAGAAGATGGCAGAAGCTGAGGGTAACCTTCCTCAGCTTAGCGGCCTTCAGCTGGGTTCTCATCACCGCCAGCCACCATGCACAACAGCCACCCTGGGATGATGAAATCTGCTACTTAATCAAACTGGAAAGCTCCAGAATGCTGCAAGAGTAGTTTCCATGAAGTTATCTAGAAATCTCATGACAGGGCAGAGATTTAAACTAGGGCATTCTTCAGCACACCACTTCTCTTTCTCCAATATGAAAAAAAGACCAGAACTTTGAGGCAACTAAAGTTCAAATCTCTGGGATCTAGAGTTTTCATGTTCATACGTATACCATTCTTCACTCAACCCAAATCATTTCAAGAGGGCCAACCTCCCTATTGTTTGGCCTCTAGTTCCCCACCCTCCCCTGTCATACTAGCCACTGTACCTCTGTGGAATATAAAACATTCGATGAGGAGGTGGTTTGTAGAGGGTGCCGTTGTAAGTTGGCCAAAGCCCTCCCAAGATCCGGAAAAGGGAACTCTTCCCACAGCCATTTGGGCCAGTGATCAGGAGGTGCATACCTTCATCTACCTGCAAGGGAGAAGCACAGAGCAAAATATGAAAAAAGGAAGAATAAAAATATAACAACAATAATATCCCAAAACACCTGGAGCAACACTTGAATATCACTAGCACTGATAAAACCATCACTGGATAACTGCAAAAGGCAGCTTTACTTGGGATGGCATACATCCTCCAATGATACCTCTAACACCATCAAACAACATCTGCCTATCCCAGGCCCTTGGGAAACTCGATAGGTGGATAAAAATGCCAAATCTAGCCTGTGTGACTAACAACAACAATAGGAACAAATAGTCTCTCCCCATTTTTTCCCCCCAATTCTTGGCAGCTTCAATTGTTTCTCAGGATCCACGCTCCCCCACACCCCAATATCGCACAACGTTTACAATAGAAATTTGCATTTGTCCAGGCAACTTACTTTATCCATTTGGTGCTCTAAAAGCAATCTATGAGCCCCATCAGCTCACTACCTCTCTTCTCAATCTGGCCTCAAGCTCCTGTTGCATTCTCAGCCTTCTTGCAAAATTATAAAGACCAGAGGTTATCTATCAGTTCCATCAAAACACACATGACCTCTCAACACATAAGTCATCCTACCTGGCCCTGAAACAGGTGAGAATCCCTAGCCCTTCCCCTTCTGTACTCCTTTGCTGCTGCTGTTTGATCTCCTGTTCTCTGAATTCTAGCCAACAGAATGCCTGCAGTTGCCTCCTGGCGCTCTTATCTCCTTTCCATGTCAGGACTTTGTCCAGGAATATACAGAGAGACAATGGCCAGAAAAGCATAGGCAGAGTAAACATGTTTGCCAACAGGACAACTATATCAACTAACCCTGAAAATAAAGGGTTTTGATCTGCCCCTTTGATCTCAAGGTGACTTCCGGACTTCCGAGGGGAAGCTTTTCAGCACTGCACCTACTAATTCCTGAGTAGCTGGAGCCTATTAAAATAATATCTTCACAGGGCCATTTCAAAAGTTGGCAGCCTTACTCAATGAAAGTAATCTTAAATTGCTTCCCATGTTGATGCAGTTAGATTCGGAAATATAATATCTCAACTTTCATCAGTGCTTCAGTGCTGACTGGCCCCTGTCTTCTTATTACTCACTCAGTCCACCTTCCCGTGGATTTCAGAAGTGGTCAAACTACAATTTCCAGCTTCTCTTTCCATTAGTCATGGAAAGTTGCTTGGTGTTGTAGTTCGTCAGGATCTACAAATTCAGTTTGCCCTATACGAATGCCTTGACCACTTACTCGGATATTGAGGCTGGCGACTACCACATCCCCGGTGGGCGTGATAATGGGGATGTTTTCACAGACAATCCCATGATCCACATCAATCACATGTCCTGTAAGCAGAAGAAAAGACAGAGCCTTATATTCACCATGAAAGAAGCATTTCATGGCAAGAGATGCTGACCTTCTCCATAGAAAGAAACAAATGTAATCCTTTGTCAATGATTTCTTTTGCTCTGTGACTCCTTTCATATAGGTGGAACCTGAGACAACAGACACTGAGATTTTACAGCATGGTGTGGGCACATTCATGGCTGCTGTTGAGGCTTTGCAGTTTATTTTTTTATTTTTAAAAAAAGTGTTTATTTTTTACAACAAACATACAAACAAAACATAAAAACATAAAACCCTCTTTCAATTATATACGTACAGTGTGTCAGTTGGTTTCAATCTTTTGTGCTATCTTTTTTTTTTTACCATTACTCACAAGTTATATAAATTCTTACCTTATCAATCTAGCTTGTGCTTATGTAGTATCAATTATTAAACATTTATTTGACTAAACTATTTTTCCATCATTTTATATGAGATATTCTAAATTTCATTATGGTTTAATCTTATACATTCATCCAATGGTTATATATTTTATATTGTATTCTATATCAATCTTTTAACTTTTATTGTGAGGCTTACTAATCTATTTCCTTACCATGTCTTTTTATCTAACCATTGATAAAATAAATCGAGGCTTTACAGTTTATTAAGGGGTACCATAGAGCAGGGGTCTCCAACCTTGGCAACTTTAAGCCTGGAGGACTTCAACTTCCAGAATTCTGGGAGTTGAAGTCCTCCAGGCTTAAAGTTGCCAAGGTTGGAGACCACTGCCATAGAGAGAATAGCCAGTCATCAGATGGTGATCTAGTAGTTATTCCCCAAACTATTTCTAATCTCTCTTTGCAGGATGTTCCACACACCTCTGCTAATTTTTGGCTATTTTTCCCTGTGGCCATCTGGCAATTTATATTTTTAAAAAAATGCTTTGTAAAATTAATGTAGAATTCAGAAATATTCTTATAAATACAAAAGGCAATCAACTCTGATGCTTTGCTACATACTGTTTCCTATTTACTTTTTTAAAAAATTGAGTGTATAATAGGCCTTAATACCTGGCACATTTCCCATAAAATATAGTTTACCATATCTGAATTGAGCCTATCAAACAGGTATCCAATAATGTAGTAAGGTACCCTTCCACCAAATAAGTGAAAAAGATGGATCCGTAAAACATTTAACAAGGAGCATGAAAAGCCTGCAGGCATTACATCACCTTACTTCTACAACTATATTGAATATTATAACAATGATCTCTCAAGATATATACAGGAAGGGAAAAAGGCTGTAAAGATGTATCTGATCAAGGCAATGGCAAAAATCTTAGGCAGGACATTACTAAAGTTTAGGCAAGCAAAACTAGTACCAATGACATAGAAGGAAGTCTCACAAAGTAAATTATGAAATGCATATCCTTCAATATGCTGATCTTGCAAAAGTTACACAAAGGTGTGGAACTAAACTTAATTTGGAGAGTACACTTCTCATTTTTGTTTGGCATACACTCTAGAGAAAGGCACATCAAAAAACTCAAATAATATGGGCTGATCAAACCAAGACAATTCTGACTAATTGGTAGCAAGGCCTAGCAAACCCATTCCTGAGGTTTATTATCTCAGTTTATGTATGACCACATAACTGGACATCCTATACAACCATCAGAATGTAAAGGCAAAACATTCTAGCTTTTCCTTCGTAAGCTTTTTTAAAAATTATGAAAACTATCTTGCTGATTGATATAAAGTTTTTGTTGACCTAAAACAAAATATCAAATAAATAAAACATTAGAAATTAATTTTTATGTGTGTCCTTTTAAAAACAAAAGGAATAATGATCAAAACCAAATGTGTACTTTTTTTTTTAAGTGCAGGGATTGCTTTTGGCAGATTAAAGTATTTGGCAGATGTCCAAGAACTAATTTTTAGGTCCCAGGAGAACATCTGGAGCTATGATATGATCATCCCAAGTTCTACAACCTTAGCTGACATCAGTGAAGGGCAGGTAAAACTGGGAAGAATCTATTGCAGTCTTCCCTAAGTTGGTTCCTTCTAGACCTGTGGCTCCCAACCTTTTGGGCACCAGGGACTGATTCCATGGAGAGAGGTTTTTCCGCAGACCAAAGGATGGGGCTTGTTTGCACGGACCAGTTTCTGGCATGCTGGGCACCGGTGCCGGTCCATGGACCAGGGGTTGGGGGATCCCTTCTCTAGACAAGCTAGATGGCAACATCCATTGCTTCCATACAATACAATTTTGGAAAAAAAAGAATCCCACATATCTGGAGAGAGCCAAATTAAGAAAAATCATTTGATCCTTTCGCAGATATTATGCTTAAAATTATATAAGTATATCTGGATTCCACCAACTGCACTTGGAAGTAAAAAAACAGACTGTTGAAACTTTACATGGCCTGCAGCCAGCCTAAACATTCAGGAAATGTGAGGCCATAAAAAAAAAAAAAACAGGGGAAACTTTCCTTGATTCTTTTAAGACAATTTAGAATTTAGTGTGGGTACAGAAAACCATGAGGCCATAAATCTGAGCATAAATACGTTTTGCTAAGATACAATTTATTTGACTGGTTTGCTGAATAATCTCCGATTGATTAGATTACAGTAATCCTAACTATGGTATTGAAACCACGGTGGCAGGATTCATGCAATATACCAAACCAACATCCAATAAGCCACATTTTTGTCTCACCGGGATGTGTGAGACTAGCCTGCATTTCTCCTCTCTGTTGCTGAGCCCTCCCCACACGTCCCTTATAACAGGGGTCTTCAACCTTGGCAACTTTAAGACTTGTGGACTTCAACTCCCAAAGCTGG